CCGCCGATTCGCCGGCGCAGCCCCGGGGCTGGCACCCTGCCTCACGCTGATTGGCGCCCCCAGCCGCCCGTTAGGGCGCGAGGCACGCCGGCCGAACGCCGCGCGGGGTGCGCACGGAAGACGGAGCGAGTGGAGGAGGGAAGGAAGGAGGCTGAGCACCGCGGGAAGGGCCAGCCGCGGAGCGGAGCCCTGGGAGGCGCGGGCTACGGCCACCCCACCTCGCAGTACCTTCAGCCCGCCCCACCTCCGGCCGGACCGGCAGCACTCGCAGCCAATGAGCGCTCGGGGAGCTCGGGGTGTGAGCCGCGCGTCGGGGCCCTGGAATCGGAAGGGAGACGTCGCTCGCTGATTGGTCCCGCCTCCCCCGTCCAGCGTGAGGCGAGGCGCGGCCGGGCGGGGTAGGATGCCGGGGGTTTCGCTTGAGTTTGTCTTCGGCACGTTCCCACGGGGCTCGCGGAGAGGCGAAAGAGGCCTGCGGCCTACCGCGCTAAACATACCACGTCCCATCCACAGACTCTTTTTCCCCCCTCCCGGTCCCCAGTCAGCACCTCTCAAGGGAAAACTGCCGCCTGGTCCGCCTTTTGTCAGGAGGCCGAGAATGGACACGTGCTTGTGTCCCCTGGGACAGAGCCTCGGGGCGGCGCCGAGGACCGGACACGACTGGAGCCGAAAGGGCTTGGAAGAAGCTCGAGTGGTGGGCCGAAGATGGGCGCGCCCTTATGCAAATGAGTGGGCGGGGCTTTGTGCTGGAGGGCTGGGGGGGCGGGACCAGGTGGTATTCACACACACACACACACCCCTCTCTCTCTCTCTCTCTCTCTCTCTCTCTCTCTCTCTCTCTCCTCTCTCTCTCTCTCCCCCCCTCTCTTCCCCCCCCTCTCTCTCTGTATCCTATGTAATCGTTTAGGGTGAGGGAGTTGTGAAGTGTTTTTCTTCCAACTGAATCTTGCTTCATCTAAAGTAAAAAGCATACTGATCTTGCTCGTCGTGCTTTGTAAAAGGTGAGCGCTTGGCAGTGAGCTCCTTAACTGCTGGTTTTATCTTTCCTAACGCTTTTTTTTTTCTCCACTGTTCAGTTTGTTTCATGATCCTAACTTGGCAAGTTTGCTCTACTGGAAGCAGCGAAGCTATCCAAGGGTGTGTAACTACTGCGTTCCGTGGTAACCTTGTTTTTGTTTTTTACTTAACATGGATGAAATATTGATCCCAAATAATCACATCCAGTACTAACCACCACTATGTTACGCAGGGAGAACCGAGAAAATACGGTTAAAAAGAAACTTAGGTTCCACAGAGGCTGCGGCAGAAACAAGTCTAGAACACAGTTTTCCAAAACTCATACTTGTGTAATTCTCATAGATTTAGTAGGAGATTCAGGGAAATGATCACTAGCAATCAGGAAGTGCCAAATGATTATTTCCAACACCAAGAGTTTTTTAAATAAATACACTCTGAGAGTGTGGCCATCCCAGAGGAGGGTACCTTTATATAGACCATGAGAGATATTTGGCCATTCTCTAAGTCTTACAGGTTTTCTAGATGTACTTTAAAAATCTTCATTACCACTACCTCTCCTCAAATGTAGCAATACTGATCTCACGGGAAAGTTCTGATGATGAGAGTGAACCTTGAACATAGGCATAGGCCAGTTGTAGTTTAGAGAACAGCTTTGTTCCAAATGTATGACCTCTGGCAACATGGAGCTTACTTGCAATAATACCTACTTAAATGTAATTTGTGATGAAGTAAAATAATAAATGTCAGTAAATAGCAAAGGGCTTAGAAATTACGGGAAGTTCATTGGCCATTAACTTTCCTCTTCTGTTTTGTAAAGGCATGCCTTTTTAGAAGAAGTTGTGAGCTAGTAGGGATATACTTTAGTGGCAGAATATTTATGTAGCATGTTTGGTGCTACCTAGCACCAAACCCAGTGTTTTAGCCCCTAGGCCCAAAACTCCAGGAGTTCCACATGTCAAGTTAGGCTTTTGGCCCCCACCCACCAAATCAAGAGACTCATAGTTAAGGACAGTGAAAGGTGTTCGGTGTAGCACAAGATAGCACTTGGGGCTATCTTGAGCCATCTTCCAGTAACAGATGTTTGCCTTAGGCAGAATTGAGGTAACAGTAAGAGGTTTGCATACTTAAACAGTTCTGGTGAAAATCATATTTGGTGGTCAGAGGTGTTCAAGTGGTCTGACAAGTGTGTTGTCTCACTACTGGTCAGGTAAAGTCTTTTTACAATAGGAGTCATTTATACATGGCAGATTTGTCCACCTGACAAATAGCTTTAATATGAAACAGACTATTAAAACTACCTTTAGTCATATAAATTTTCCCTGTATAAACAATGTGTAAATTAGAGTATCCAAGTGTATAGCAAGAGTGGTAACAAGCAGAACAGGATTGGATTCTAGAGGAATCTGCTCCTAGTATGGGAGTTAATAAGTTTGAGACACATTAACTCAGTGGGTAATATATCTTAAATTATTTCTCTTAATTATTGGACTTTTAGTTCCTAACTTCTGTTTAGAGATAGCTTTGTAAGACTAGAGAATTGAAGAAAGAAGAGGGACATCTGGCCACTAATGCAGTCCCCAAGGAGTATAGAAATGGGAACATGCCTACTGCCCCCTCCACTTAGAAATGCATCTAAACCAAAGTGGGTCAAGACAAACTGAAGGCACATAGAGCAAGGATTGCTCTATGTTGCCATGGAAACAATCAGCTTGGAAATCCACTAGGGTACCTGAAGATCTATCTGTAGGTTCCTATTGGATGAATCATATTGAATGAGTCTGATTTTTATATAGATACCAAGTTTAACCCTTTGTAACTAATGCCACTGAAAAATCAATTAAGCCTAAATCAATTCAGAATGCATTTAAAGGTAGTTAAGTACATCCAAAAGACATGAGAAAAATGATAATGGTGGTTGTTTGTATAAGGAGCCTAATTATGGTCATGAATGGAAAAGTTGTTTCCTTCTAACTTCTGTAATTTGATTCTTTAAATATATTTTGGTTTTTCAAAAGATACCTCTCATTCCATCTTCTGTCTTTATCAGACTTCTTGGCTACACCAGCCCAAAGTGATTCATTGATGTATCATGCAAATGAATTTTTTCTTAGAGTTTGAATGATACTTACACCAAAGCTTTAGTTAAAGTTTTGTTTCATTTGAGTAGTCTTGATCAGTTTCATAACTTCTCATACATGTATACTTTGTCTCTGCAGCTACAAAATTACTGAAGGCAAAGAACAAATTATTTTTAATTGCTTTTTCATTCCCTTATCAAAAGACTAAGTTATGAAAGAAAGGAAAAATACAGCATTTCACCAGGTCTTGGTGGCTCATTGCTGTAATCCTAGCCACTCAGGAAGCAGAGATCTGAAAATTGCCACTCAAAGTCTTTTTTTTTTTACCATATATTTTTTAACTTATTCTTTATTGTGAAAATACTGTACAGAGGGGTTACAATTACATGGGCAAAATAATGAGTACATTTCTTATCAAGTATTGTAGCCTCCTCCTTTGTTTCCCCTTCCCATCCCTTCCCAGCCTCCCCTCCCTGCCAATCTCCCCTCCCTCCCCCCCCCCCCCCCCCGCAAAGTTGTAAAGTTCGTTTTCGACAAGACAACGTTATCTCCAACAGACTACTCAGATAAAGCCATAGTGGCACTGTGGCACAAGTGGTAGTTCACTAGCCCTTAATTCAAGCCCCACGACTGGCACTAATAATAATAATAATAAGTGTGTGTATATATAGCATTTTCATAACAGGAAAGTGTGTATCAATCGTTCTTTCACTTTTATCCTATCCTTCAAAGGGAATGTTTGTAGTTGTCCTCAATATAACAGTTAGATCTCTTCTCAACATCTGTGGTCTATTTGCTCATCTTAATGGGACTAAGTTGCAATGAACATTATTATATCATAAGGAAAGATCTAATTACTGACAAGTGAAAAGACACTGGTTAGTTCAGATAACCTAAGTTAACTTTTATTCAAATTACAGTTAAGAAATCCAACTGGATTTGCATATCATATGGTAAATGTATATATACATACAAGTATACAAAGCCCTCATTCACTTGTTAGTTTGCTAAAAAATAGAAACTATTCATTGTCTGATAGGAAATGCCAAAGACAAGAACAAGAACAGACATAAAATGTAATAGATGTCTGTAAGGCATATTATGTGCCTACCTTAAAAATATTGGCTGATCCTGGTAGAAAAGGTCATTGTATGGCCAAATTTACTCAAGAAAATTTGACATCCAAGAAGGGTTTTTTGTAGGACTTTTTAATATTTTTTATTGTAAAGATACTGTACAGAGGGGTTACAGTTACATGAGCAAGGTAATGAGTCCATTTCCTGTCGAGCATTGTTACCCCCTTCTTTGTTTTTCCCCTACCTTCCCTTTCTTCCCCCCCTCCTCCCTAGCCCCCACCACCAAAATTGTAAAGTTCTTTTTCAACATAGTGTCTTGTACATCTCGTTGTTAAAATGGGTCATCCTATATCCTTATTTCAGCATTTTGTTATTTTCCTTCCCCTCCCCAAATTAGAAAAAATGAATATACAAGATTCAGAACACCGGAATCAGATACAGTGACAACAGGAGTTATACCATGAGAGAACATACAAAGAAACAAAGAAAAATCATATAGTACATTATACGTACATTAAAAAGAACAGCA